ACATTTATAAGAGCTTATAATTTCAATTCAATCCCCTAAATACTATTCTCTTTGTTTTATACTGAGTGTCGTTGTACAGTAAAAATTTTGTTACAAAATAAGTATCATTTAGAATTTTAATTTCAAATTTATTAACTTTATATGCTATATGAATTTTTATATTATTTGGTTTATTTTTTTAATAAAGATAGGTGTATAACTAATGCTTTTTCTTTAAAATATATAAAACTAAATATTTTTAACATGTACGCAAATCTAAGATAACATTTAAAATGAAACAGATAGATTAAATCCTAAATAATAATAATTAAAGAATAAATCCAAATTTTAATATTTTTTAATTGAATATATTTCTAAAAAGTGATAATCAATTTATTGGGTTTTTGGTAATTTTTCGAGATCGATTTTTCTGGCCATCTCTAAAACACTATGTTCAGATCCAAAGGTTGTGTTAATTTGTTTAGTCCGGAAAAAAAACAAAAGATATTTCCTACCAATTAATTCTGCGGAAAAACTGATTCATATTCCATCATCTTTTTATTCTTCAAAATAAAAAGATCGAGACCGATCAAACAAATCAAGAAACAATATATTAGCAATTCTTTGATAAGGGGATCTTTTGTCTCCTTATCTCTTTATCATGTGTACGGAGGCTTTAATTACTAATATTAAAAAGGCGGAGCGACAAAAGAGATTAATAGGAATGAAGGTGGCTAGAGTGTGTCCAGCGATCTCTCATATTCTTCTTGCAGATGATAGTCTCTTTTTTTGCAAGGCGGTATCGGAAGAGTGTCAAACTATACTCACCATTCTTAAGGAATACGAGGCTGTATCAGGTCAACTAATCAATTTTCAGAAGTCTTCTATTCAGTTTGGCCATAGAATTGGGGAAGAGAATAAACAAGAGCTAAGGGATATCCTAGGCATTCAGAATATTGGAGGCATGGGTACATATCTAGGACTCCCAGAGAATCTGGGTGGATCTAAGATACAGGTATTTGACTTTGTACAAGAACGATTAAATAAAAGAGTCAATGGATGGACATTCAAGTTTTTTATAAAGGAAGGGAAAGAAGTAATTATCAAATTGGTGGTTACGACGTTACCAAATCACGTGATATCATGCTATAGGTTACCTAAGTCAACCACGAATAAACTAACGAGTGCAGTAGCACAATTCTGGTGGAGCCTTGGGGGTAGCACAAGAGGAATGCATAGTAAATTATGGGATAAATTATGCCTCGATAATGATGCGGGAGGGTTGGGTTTTAAGGATCTTGAGGATTTCAATACGGCTATGCTTGAAAAATAATTATGGCTCCTTATTGAGAAACCAAATGCTTTGTTTTCTCGTGTGTTCTAGGGTCGGTACTATAGGAATAGATCACCTCTAGAACCGATTCGATCATATTCTCCGTCATATGGCTGGAGGAGTATGATCTCAGCTAGATCTCTGGTTAGCAAAGGACTTATTAAACGGTTGGGACCAGGATCATCTATCTCAGTATGGAATGATCCCTGGCTCCAAACCACTCGTCCGAGACCAGCAAATAAAAATCAACAAAAAATTTCTTCGGATCTCACAGTGTATTCTCTCATCAATACAGCTACTCGGACTTGGAATATGCCGGTGATTCGTGCTTTAGTAGACCCTCAAGATGTGAAGATAATAGAGAGTATTCCACTTAGCAGGATACAAATGGCAGATAGGGTTGGATGGCATTTCACCAAAAGTGGTAAATATATAGTGAAGTCAGGATATCAGGTTGAAAGGGTGTATTCGGATAGAGGACGGCAGACTGAGATTCAGGGACCTACAGTAGATGCCTTGAAAGCTTTCTGCTGGAAGGTACGATGTCCTCCCAAGATAAAACATTTTCTTTGGCAATTGCTATCGGGTTGTATTGCGGTTAAGAAAAATCTATAGGCAAGAGGGATAAATGGTGATATAGGTTGCGACAGATGTGGTGCTGAAGTAGAATCGGTTAATCATATTTTCTTTGAATGTCCACCAACGCGTCAAGTTTGAGCATTGTCAAGGATCCCTTTGAATCCAGTTACCTTCCCTACAGGGTCTTTATTTTCCAATATGGACCATTTATTTTGGAGGGTTATTCCCAAAATGGACGATCATCATTTTGTATGGATATTGTGGTACATTTGGAAGGGGCGAAATAGTAAAACTTTTAGTAACTTGGATGTTGACCTGAAGGACACACTCATACTGGCAGAGACCGAATCCACTCTGCGGGAGGAGGCTCAAATAAAAGTAACTCAGAGTGAAACACAGTCAGAGACAGTTGCGGCCATACCAGTTATACCAGGACGTTGGTGCTTTATTGATGGTTCATGGAAGGATAAAGATGTGTTTGATGGCCATGGTTGGTATAGTAGTCTTGAAGGTTTTGTAGGTATAATGGGAGCACGGAATACTAGATACAGCCTCTCACCTTTTCACTGTGAGGTGGAAGCGCTTATTTGGACGATGGAGAGTATGAGGAACTTGCGCTAGTATTACGTTACGTTTGCAACAGATTGTTCTCAGTTGGTGAAGATGGTTTCAAAACCAAAAGAGTGGCCAACCTTTGCAAATTATTTGGAAGATATCAAAACGCTTCAAGGGAGTTTCCACAGCTCGTCAATCATCTATGTACCAAGAACACTGAATTCACGTGCGGACAGTCTAGCACGCAGTGCGAGAAAACAATCGTCTTTCGTTGTTCACATGGATACAGAGCTACCAGTTTGGATCGCAAAGTCCATATGAATCTGTTTTTTGTTGTTGTCAAAAAAAAAAAAAACTATTCTTTGATAAATGGATAAGCAATCTTTGTTCATTCAACTGTTATCCTTGCTTTTCTTCGAAGTTTATTTTTCTGATTTGAAGAATAAATCAAGTTTTGGTTTGACCAAAAATATGTAATTTTAGATTTTTCACACATACTAAGATAATACACTCAACTTTGATTACTAATACATAAATTTTGTAATTAATTAACCTCCAAAACTTTTAATCAAAATTTCAATAAACATAATTATATTTTTTAAGTTTACAGTTTACTATTAAATAAGGTATTGTAAATAATCCAAATATATCCAAAATATGTTTTTTTAAATGTGGATCTTATAGGACAGAGGGATTATTTAGTGATAATATTTTTGAATTTTGTAATATTTTTAATAAAAAAATTTGATATATACCATAAACATTTTTAATAAATATAGATAATTCTCAATATTCTTGAAAGGAAAAATTCCTTAAAAATTCTCCAACTTAATTTCATTAAGCTTTTTAATACCTAAATATTTTTTCTACCTAGTTTAATACTCCAACTAGTTTTTTCATTTTAATACACAAAATTTTACAAACGTATCAATTTTAATACTTAGACTTTGTTTCTTATAATAAAAATATTAATAATTTTCAATCAAAATTTGAAAAAAAAAACAAATCTCTAAAATCTAAGAAAAACATTAGAAAATTTTCATTTTATTTTCATATTTAGAAAAGAAGATAAATAAATTAGGGAGAAAACTTTTAATTGTGAAATAAAAATAAATAAATTTATTTTCTATTTCACAAAATATACTAAATTCAATATTTAAGACCTATAAATTTTATTACAAACATTAAGATTATTCATAGTTTATTTACTTATATTTCTCAAATAGAAAATAAAATGAGAATTTTCTGAGATTTTTGTAAATTTTAGAGATTTAAAAATTTTCGTTTGAAACTAGTTAGTATTTGTAATTAAAATAAATAAATTTTGGTTATTAAAATAGACATAGTTTTAAATTTTTATATATTAAAATGAAAAAAAAATTGGAGTATTACTGTGTAACCGTAAAATTTGGGTATTAAAGGCTTAATAAAATTAAGTTATGGTATTTTTATGAAATTTCCCCTTCTTAAAATATGGTAATAGCAAATATGGATGTATACTATAAAAGAACTATAACTATTACTAAACTAAAATATAATTATAATTTTTAATATTAACTTATGGTAAAAAGGTTAGTCAATTATTTATGATTGTTTATATTTTGTAAAAGTTAAATGTATAAATATATATTAAACTAAACCATTTTTATAAGTTTCTTGAATAGTTAAAAACTTATTGACAAGAATTTTGATTTTTGGATAGATTTCAAAATAAGGTAATGACATTAACGAAATTTTTTTTGTTCTTATTTGTTACTTAGCTTAATTAAATTAAAAATTTTCTAAACCAAAATAATACATACTTATTTATGTTTGAATCTGTAAATCAAAATTCAGTTTGGTTTATATTTTAATTTTATCACTTTAATGTATCTTAAGTAAAATAAACAAAACTAATTTTTAATAGATACATTTAAATATAATACATCATTAAATTTAATATAATATAAGTAAATTATTATTTTAGAAAACACAACTTATTTTAATGAATTGAAATAAATCTTGGCTGACCTCATGTTGACAGTTCTGAATTTTTAGTCAACTTGACAAGTCTTTTGTGGAACGAATCCCCATAGATATAAAAACATGTTGACTTGGAAAATTTCAGTTACATTTATTCTCTAATGCATCAAATTAGTTCAAAAGAAGATGAAATAAATTGCATTGGGTGTATTAATTAAAAAATCTGGACTGAGAAGGAAATTTAGTTTACTAACAGGATGAAATAGTAACCGTTAACAAATGTAGCATATTGATGTTTTGCACCGATTTAAAAGCAAAAAAAAATAATAATAATAATAACTTTGGAAAAAATATTACTTGAGCGTTCAAATTTGGTAAGTTGTTCTTTAATTGCATGTATGAGATTTCCGTTTCTCAATTTTTCTTTATGGACCTCTGTTTTTCACTTGTTGTGTGGTAATCACATTAAGTAACAACAGAACAAATGCATTTAGTCTCATAAGCTTTATAAGTATGAAGGCTCAAGATTTAAAACCCATATCCATACATATTCTTTGCAACAAAAGTAAAAATATATATATAAAGAGACGCAATGAGATTGATCCTGATCTTTGCTGTTTTGTGTTTCTTCTACAATGAAACATATGGGAAAGTTTCATTAGATATCGACAAGAAATTGGGAACTCTTAATAAGCCCGCGTTGAAGACCATCAAGGTATGTATGGGATCTGAATGCACACTATAGTATTTCATATGTAGAATATGTTTCGGTTTGAGTTCTGAAAAATCGATTGTAATCTACCTGTAGAGTGAAGATGGAGATGTAATAGACTGTATAGATATCTACAAACAACATGCTTTTGATCATCCCGCCTTAAGAAATCATAAGATTCAGGTAACACATTCTACACATTAATGACATTTGATTTTCGTACTCATATTACAATTAAATTATTTATAAATGATTTATTCATAAAAATTATTTTTTAGCCCTAAATACTTACAAATTCTACACTGATGCATGCAGATGAAACCTAGTGTGGAGTTTGATACAAAGAAGACCACTACTCCAAACAACGGTTCTTCTAAACCAATCACGTCCCAGATTTGGTCCAAATCTGGAAACTGTCCCGTAGGGACGATACCAGTTCGTAGAGTCAGTAGAGCAGACATAATGAGAGCCTCTTCACCGTCTCATTTTGGAAGAAAAACTCATCACAGATACAGTTTTCTCGACAACGCACTTCAACACAAGGCCAATTTCAATCTAACTGCTGAACGATTACGCGAACCCTTAAACAACCGATCGGTACGTACATTGAGTGTAACATGTTGAATGAAGAATTATTTAATTTTCATTTCTGGTTTGAAAGAATAACTAATGCAAACAAATATTCACCAAAATCAAAATGAAACGTATTAAAAGTAAAATAATTCATTTGATATATGGGTATTTATCATTATTTTAGTTATGCCATGTGTTCTTGTTTTTCTATAATTGTGTATGTATTTGTGTATCGTATTACTATCTAATTAATAAAAAAAGAACCGTACTAAAAGTAAAATAATTTATTTAACTGGAACATTTCATTTTTGTTGATGATTTAGGAAGCGATCATTGTGGCTCTAGGGTTCAATTTTCTTGGAGCTCAATCCGATATAAACATCTGGAACCCTCAGGGAGTTCAGGCTGGTGACTACAGTTCTGCTCAGATCTGGCTACTAGGTGGCGTTTCAAATACATTTGAGAGCATAGAAGCTGGTTGGATGGTACGTACAGTTTTTCATCTTTAGAAACGTTACACTTTTCGTTAGTAGCTAGTAAACCCTAAACCTATGGCCATTATTAACCATTTCAGGTGAATCAAAGAGTTTTCGGAGACTCTCGCACTCGTCTCTTCGCCTCCTGGACTGTAAATAGCTATCATCATTACATGAATACTGATCATTTTGGAACATCTCAAACACACTTCAACGAGTTCATAACTACTCTTTCTTTATATTTGAATCTGCAGAAAGATGCATATACTAAAACAGGATGCATTAACCTCTTATGCTCTGGATTTGTGCAAACAAGTACTAAGTTTGCCCTGGGTGCAACCGTTGAACCCGTTTCGATTCTCGGGGGTGCACAATATTTCATCGCCGTTAGCATATATTTGGTAACATTTTATGGCTTATATAATATGATAAAATAAAATATCACCATCTTTCATAAACATAGTGTAATGAGTGTATTTGTTTTAACTTATTAAATTGGATAATTTCTTAAACTCTAGCTTCTATTTAACATAAAGTGAACCGGGGCCTGTATGCTTCTCTGGTATTGTTTCATCCTTGACCGTGTTTCCAGGATCCAAACAGTGGGAACTGGTGGCTGACTTGCGCAAACAACGTGATGGGTTACTGGCCGGGGATACTCTTCAACGCCCTCAAACACAGTGCAACCGCAGTGCAGTGGGGTGGAGAAGTCTATAGCCCTAACCTGATGATGACGAAGCCACACACAAAAACTCCAATGGGGAGTGGAAATTGGGCATCCACCCGGTGGAATCGTGCTTGTTTCCACACCAACCTTAGGATCAAGGACTTTTCCATGCAGGTCAAGTACCCTCAGTATCTATCCGAGTACGTGGATGAGCACTACTGTTATTCTACAAGGCTCTTCAGGGACACCTACATGTCAGAACCGCACTTCTACTTTGGAGGACCTGGCCAGAATCCTCAGTGTCCTTGATCTCATGTGTTGATGTTTTAAAATGTTCATTCTCTTTTGTTGTGATTTTAAATGTTTTATATACTAAAATAAAAACTTGTAAGATTTCTGTTTGGCTCCTTGTATGTTTAACTAAAATTTAAAAGTGTTTGATTAAAATAGCTTTTTAAGCTCGATATATATATATATATATATATATATATATATATATATTAGTAAAATATAATCTAATATTTTCCATGAACGAAGGTTAACAGATGGGAAAAACAAACCGCTTTGAGAACGTTGTAAACTTGAACGATTCTATGTTTCTTGTACAGTGGAGTCCACGGAACAGCTTCCCTTATAACAAGCCTGCATTGAAGACGATCAACGTATGACTTGCTAATTTTATTATAGCGTGGGGTGTATTTTCTTAAGCAGTAATTTTGTGTGGATATCTATAAATAACCTGCTTTGATCATCCCGCCCTAAGAAATCACAAGATTCAGGTAAACAAACTCTAGTCACGTGCGTCATTTGGTTCATGCACAAATCAAATACAAAAAAGAAAAAAAACTCTATAAGTAGTTGTTTCTTTACTCGTTCAACATTTATGTATGCAGAAGAAACCGAGTAAGGAACTTGGTTCAAAGGAGACTAATTAATAGTCCAAAGGACGGTTCTTCTAAACCGGTTACATCCCAGATTTGGTCCAAAGCTGGTCGATGTCCAGTAGGGAGTAGGGAAAATTATAATAAGAATGATCAAACACCAAGGAGACGACTTCAATTTTACTGAGGAAAACCCCTATACAAAAGAGATGGACGAGTATATAATCGTTGATGATTAAGGGCCTGTTTGTTTCACCATCCAGATGAGTCATCTGGATGGAGATGAGAGTTTTGTTTGTTTATACACTAAAAGTACAACTCATCTAGATGGATCATCCGGATGACTTTGAAATTTTAGGCTTAATTTTGAAGTCCATCTGGATGTACCAATTTGAACCATCTGGATGGAAATGGTTCTTCCAAAATTGTATAATGTCTATTATACCCTTTTATATAATTCATAAATTACAAACCTAAACATACTATCTATCTATACTATTATTTGCGAAGTAATTTTTCGCAACGGAGCTCCCACGTTAAAAGTTGGAGTGGTTAATATCGTTTATACCCTTAATCTATACTATTATTTGCGAAATAATTTTTCGCAACGGAGCTCCCACGTTAAAAGTTGGAGTGGTTAATATCGTTTATACCCTTAATGAATTAATTATATATACAAACGAATTTAAATTTATTTAATTAGATAAGTTATTTTAAATAATAACAATAAGAGTTATCCAAAACGCGTTTTCTCATAAAAACCGCAAGACGTGTTTTCCCGTAAAAACGTGTTTTTCGCCAAAACGTGTTTTCCCGTAAAAACGTGTTTTTCGCCAAAACGTGTTTTCTCGCCAAAACGTGTTTTCCCGCAAAAACGTGTTTTCCCGCAAAAACGCGTTTTCCCGCCAAAACGTGTTTTTTCGCAAAAACGCGTTTTTCCGCCAAAACGTGTTTTTTCGCAAAAACGCGTTTTTCCGCCAAAACGCGTTTTTCCGCCAAAACGCGTTTTTCCGCCAAAACGCGTTTTTCCGCCAAAACGCGTTTTTCCGCCAAAACGCGTTTTTCCGCCAAAACGCGTTTTTCCGCCAAAACGCGTTTTTCCGCCAAAACGCGTTTTTCCGCCAAAACGCGTTTTTCCGCCAAAACGCGTTTTTCCGCCAAAACGCGTTTTTCCGCCAAAACGCGTTTTTCCGCCAAAACGCGTTTTTCCGCCAAAACGCGTTTTTCCGCCAAAACGCGTTTTTCCGCCAAAACGCGTTTTTCCGCCAAAACGCGTTTTTCCGCCAAAACGCGTTTTTCCGCCAAAACGCGTTTTTCTGCCAAAACGCGTTTTTCCGCCAAAACACGTTTTTCTGCCAAAACGCGTTTTCCGCGAAAACGCGTTTTTCCGCGAAAACGCGTTTTTCCGCGAAAACGCGTTTTTCCGCGAAAACGCGTTTTCCGCCAAAACGCGTTTTCCGCCAAAACGCGTTTTCCGCCAAAACGCGTTTTCCGCGAAAACGCATTTTTCCGCGAAAACGCGTTTTTCCGCCAAAACGCGTTTTCCCGCCAAAACGTGTATTACCGCTAAAACGTGTTTTCCCGCCAAAACATATTTTTCCGCAAAAATGCTTTTTCCTGCCAAAACGCGTTTTCCCGCCAAAACGTGTTTTTCCGCAAAAACGCGTTTTCCAAAAACGTTTCTTTTGCTAAAACCGCAAAAATGTGTTTTCCCGCCAAAACCGTAAAAATACCTTTTTCTGCCAAAATCGCAGAAACTCGTTTTCCCGAAAAACACTTTTTCCTGCAAAAACGTATTTTTCCGCTAAAATCGCAAAAACGTGTTTCCCGCTATAACCGCAAACACAACTAAAACCACAAAAACCCGTTTTTCCCCCAAATCCGCAAAAACTCATTTTCGCGTCAAAATTATAAAAATATATTTAAAATTAATATCATAGATATGACTAAATTAAAACAAGGGTATTTTAGTAATTTTTTTACTAAACTCATCTAAATGGAAAAAAAAAACAGAGAAACAAACATGAGTCCATCTAGATGATCCATCTAGATGGACCATATTGATGGACAAACAAACAATCTCAAAAATGTGGATGGACCATCTAGATGAATCATCTAGATGGATTAGCTGGATGGAGATGATAGATGGTGAAACAAACAGCACCTAACTAACGTATAAAGACAAATGACGAACTTTAAATGTCGGATAGTACACACACACACGTAATATGAAAAGAATAAATACATTTGGACAGTTCTGTGTTTAACCAAAAGAAGTTTTGAAAATCAAAATAATAGAGAGAAAATGTATATAAAAAAAATTACGTGAAAATCATCCAGCAAGACTTTTTTTAATTAAGGCATTATTACGAATTTTGAATTAATTTAAAATATTTTAATTGAATATATGAGCTAATGATCTTTTTTAAAGGAAAAAAAAATTAAATTAATTAATTACATACTTAAATAAAATCAAAATTTAGTCGGGAAGTATGTAATCACTTAAAATCCTCTTACGGGTGGGTAATTTCTGATAATGATACAAAGTATCAGCCCAGAATAAGTATTAACTAGGAAAGGTAGATGTTTTTTGTAAATATCAAATACTACATAAAACTAAACCATTGGCGTTACAAATCAAAAAGCAAATCGTGACCCGTCTCCTCAAAAACCGAACAACATCTGATTGAAAACCTGTCTGAAATGGTTAACAAGAATCAGCAGAACCTCTTCCTCGTCGGATCTCCCTACGAGATCGATAAGATCAAACGAGCCGAAACCTCCCAACAAGGTCTCTTCTTCTTCCTCTTTCTTTTGTCTTAAAATTCCTTCAAAAAAAATCGCATTTATACTGAAAAATTTGATTTTTGGATATTTTGATGATGTAGCCGGAGCTATTGCCGGAGCTAAAGCCGCCGCCGTTGCTGCCGTGGCTAGTGCGATTCCAACGGTAAGCTATTTTTCCAACTCGCAGATCGTTATAATTGAATTGTCTCTCTCTCTAGTGATTTTAATTAGTTTGTAGATTGTTTACTATAATCTTTATGTTATTGCATTGATTTTTTGATTCGTAAAGTTACATTCTTTATAATATAAATATGAAACTGAAACATAAAGGCTTCGCCTTTGTTAAACAGTTTGCTGCGGTTCGTGTGTTCCCATGGGCTAAAGCTAACCTCAACTACACTGCTCAGGCACTCATTGTATCTTCAGGTTAGCTTTGATTAGTAGCTTTCTTTTTAGACATTGTGTTGGTTTTTTTCTGATTCCTGACCAATGAAAGTTTTGATTTTTTTTGTGAAAATGGTGATGATTGGAAACAGCATCCATTGCTGCGTTCTTTATAACTGCGGATAAGACTATTCTACAAGGTGCAAGGAGAAACACTGAAGCTCAGTTGAAGAAAGCTCAGCAAGAATCTAAGTAAATTTCTTTTTTTCATCATCATCATGTAAACTCAATCTGTGACACACATCTTTCTGGCTTCCCTGTATGCGTTTTGGTTTGATATCAGAATAAAGAGTTATAACGAGTTTATAAAGACCATTTTCATTCACTTATTCTCAGCATTAAGACTTGTCTTGTTTAGTTGGATAATACTCCTTTCCTTCCACTATGATTAGATGTTTTAGAAAGAAAATTTGTTTAAGAAAACTTATTCTTAAAAAATTGATGTAGAATTTATAAATTTCAATAAAATAATTGAGTTTATTGGATTACTATTGGTTATAAGTTATTGGAAATTGATAATTCTAATCTCTTAAAATACTGAGTTAATGTGTGTGTTTTTAATATACCTATGTAAAATACTAAAACATCTCTATTTTAAGGAATGGATGGAGTAAGTTTTTTTTTTTTTTTTTGGTCAAAGGATGGAGTAAGCTTAAAGTTTTTTTGCTAAAACTTTGATTTGAATAATACAAAACATGAGTACAAAAAAAAAAAAAAAAAAAAAACCTAAAAGGTCTCTATATACATTTGTACACATTCCCTCAAAAAAGTAGCAACCTCAATGTTGTGGTTAATGATTACACAAAAACCTAGTTCTTCATCTTCTAACTTATCATGTGACCTGATAAACTAACGAGTAAGTGGTGCCTCATGTTGTAGACACTCTTGATCTCCAAACAGCAGCAACCTCAAAGTTGTGGTTATTGATTATACAAAACCTATTTCTTCATCTTCTATCCTTTTACTTGTCCTCCGACCAGATAAACTAACTAGCAGAGGCGCCTCATGTGCCTCTGTTGCAGTCTTTTTTGTCTCCCCATGTCCTTGTTGGCGAAGCATATACAAGACTTCCTTCATGGTAGGTCTGTTACCAGGCAGTGTGTTAGTACACATTAGCCCTAGCTTGAACACTGTTGTCATCTCCTCTATGTTGGAAGGTTCTTTGATGTCCTCATCGAAAGCCTCTTCGATTGGTTTACCAGATTGGTAATGTCTCCATGACCAATCAGCCAAGTTTGTATGCTCGTCTCCGTTGTTTCCTTCTCTTCCAGTCACTAACTCTAGCAAAACTACCCCGAAGCTGTACACATCTATCTTTTCATCCACTTTTGATGTATATGCATATTCTGTAACATAAAGATGTTAGAGATCACACAATGATATGGGACTGGGATTTTTTTTTGTCCTAAATCGGTTTTAGGTTCGGTTCGGCAATTAGTTGCTTTGATTTTCTTAAATATTTATATATAACTAAACCAAACCAAAAACTCAAACTGATCTAACCGAATTTAACTGAAGTTAACTAAATTTATCCAAAATTTTAACAGAATTAAACCAAAATCTAATGGAAATCAAAAACTTATGTAGAATTTCAAAAACAGAACTAACCGAACCAAACTTTATTAGATTAATTTATTTAGTAAGATTTATGTCTAAACCGAACTACCCGAAACGAATAAACCAAACTAACCGAATCCGCAGACCTACAATGATATATGCAAGACCTTAATCTTTTTTTTTCGACATAGAATCAGATTTGATGGGTTTGTTTAAAGAATGTTTTTACAATTTTTACCTGGAGCAATGTAACCGAAGGATCCAGCAACAGCTGACATGGTATGAGGTTCTTGGTTTTGCTTAACCAACAATTTAGCCAACCCAAAATCTGCAATCTTGGCGTTGAAAACATAATCAAGCAAGATGTTACTCGACTTGACATCTCTGTGTATGATCGCAGGAGTACAATCATGATGCATATAGCAAAGCCCTTGAGCTGCTCCCACCGCAATATTCAACCTCTGCGCCCAGCTCAAACTATTATCCTCTACAGTTCCTCTCTTCTTCTTACCATGTAGCCACTGATCCAAGCTGCGTTTCTCCAGATACTCATACACAAGAAGCTTTGAATCCTCTCGAGAAATACAACACAGTAGTTTCACTATATTCGCGTGCCTGATCGTTCCAAGTATCTCAACTTCAGCTAAGAACTCCTTCTCTAGGTTCTTGTCAAGTTTCTTCTTGTTCCATATCTTCTTCACCGCTACGTATTCTCCAGAGCTTTCTATGAAGATCTTGTAGATTTTGCCCGACCCGCCACTCCCGATCACATTCTGTTCCATCAAGTTTGAAACGATGTCGGAATCTACAAACTCTACTCTGTGGAAGGAAGTTAGCTTCCACGTCTCTAACCCTCTCCTCCTTCTTCGTTTCCTTGTGTAATCCCTAACCACAAAGAACGTTCCAAGCAGAGTGATGACAAGGAGGAGAATTGCAATAACCAGAATCATCGCGAAGATGTTTCCAGGCAACCCTTTTGATCCCTGTCTCACTTTCCGACAATCAGGCAAGTTAAGAACAGGCTTGTCCGCACAGAGGTTTGTGTTGTTAAAGAAACTTCTCTCGTAAGCAAGATTATCAAGCTGGTCGGGGACTTCTCCTGTAAGCCTGTTCGACGACACGTTAAGCGTCGTGAGCTTCAAGTTCCCGATCTCCGGCGGGATCACGCCGGAGAATCCATTCTCCGATAAATCAAGATTCAGCAAATGCGGCAACGATCCTAAACCTTTCGGAATCTTCCCGGAGAGTTTGTTCTTGGATAAGTTTATCGTCGTCAACGACTTCCACGAGATGATCGGATCCGGTAACTCACCGGAGAGACTGTTCTCATCAAGAAAGATCGATATGAGATTATCAAGAGATGTTAATTCCGTCGGAATCTCACCGGAGAAGCCATTGTTTCCGGCTTTAAACTCAGCTAAAGAAAACCAAGAACCGATAGTTCTCGGAATCTCACCTGAAAACTCATTGTTATCTATCTCAATCCTAGAAAGATTCCACGCCACTCTCTCCGGTAACGTTCCGGTGAAGGAGTTGTTACTCACCTGTACGCTGTACATATGTGGAAGACTCCAGATCCGGGGAGGAAACTCGCCGGAGAAGTTATTGTTCTGTAGCTGAACAGTGAGGAGAGTGTTACAGTCTCCGAGAGACTCTGGAACTGCTCCGGTGAGTTTGTTTGAGTACACAACAACGCCGAGAAGACGACCTCCGTTGCAGAGATTCTCCGGTAGCTTTCCGGTTAAGTGATTTTCTGATACTTCGAAACTCTCGAGATTTGAATTTAAACCGAGATCAACCGGTATTTCTCCGGTTAATTTATTAGTGAAGAGTTTTAAATCCTTTAATCTCGTTAATTTCGCGATAACCGAAGGGATTACTCCGGTTAAGTGATTATTAAACAGGTTTAGATACTCTAATTTCTTCAGATTACCGATTGATTCCGGTATAGAACCGGTTAAGTTGTTAGCGGAGAGATCAAGCTCTACCAAGTTCGTCGCGGAGATAGATTTCGGGATCTCACCTGTTAACTCATTCGCGTAGAGAAACAGATCCGTTAGATTCCTCAACCCGAAAAGCCCGTCCGGTACCCGACCCGTTAGTTTGTTAACAGATAAATCCACGTGTACGAGATCCGTCATGTTTTCAAATCCAACGGTCGAGATCTCCCCGATCAGATTCATCTCCTCCATCCACAAGAACCTCAGCTTCCTCAACCTCCCGAACTCCGCCGGGATCTCCGCCGGGAGAAACTTATCGTTGTACGCCATACGAAGCTCCTCGAGGTCCGATAAGTCTCCGATCTGCCGCGGGAACGTCCCGTCGTACTCGCTCTGGTAGAGATTCAGGACCTTGAGGCTCGAGAGGCGTCCGATCGTCTCCGGGATGTCGCCGGAGAATCCGGTGGCTCCGAGGTCGAGATACTCGAGGCGCGGCGAGAGGCGGTGGATATCGGCGGGGAGCGAGCCGTTGAAGTTGTTCTGGG